TCTCCCTATCTATCAGACAAACAGACATGACCTCTCCCTGTCTATCAGACAAACAAACAAGACCTCTCCCTGTCTATCAGACAAACAGACAAGACCTCTCCCTGTCTATCACACAAACTGACGACCTCTCCCTATCTATCAGACAAACAGACATGACCTCTCCCTGTCTATCACACAAACTGACGACCTCTCCCTATCTATCAGACAAACAGACATGACCTCTCCCTGTCTATCAGACAAACAAACAAGACCTCTCCCTGTCTATCAGACAAACAGACAAGACCTCTCCCTGTCTATCGTACAAAATGACAAGACTTCTCCCTATGTGCAAAATACCACTGACCAGAGCTGGCCAGAACCAGTCCAGGATGTAGAGCAGGATCATGTTGAGCAGGGCAGTGAGCATGAACAGTTTGCCACTCACCCTCCCGCAGTTGTTGAACCTGGTGAGTGCATCGTAGGACAGGAGGTTATCTTGAAAGATTGTTACAGTAAAAGTTTTACAGCACTTGCAACATAAATAGTTATATAAACGTCAAAGATCAGAGGTGTTACTAGAAAATAACATGCAAAGAAAAGGAGGAGAAGAGATAAGGACAACAGATGTTGTTACGAAAGAAGGAGAAAACCTACCAGCTCACCTGCCACCCACCTATTACCTTGATAGAAAACATAATGTACTTTGGCTATCAAGAAGAACTTGAAATTTTCCAAATATCCTTCCCCTCATAGAGATTCCATATCTTTTTCTCTCTTTTTAGAAAAAATCTCCCTCAACAGTATCAATTCCTTCAAAGAGTGTAGATAGAAGGGTTTACTTTACTTAACTTTCACAGGAGTATTTGTCACGGTCAGGATAACCATGTAAAAGCAACATTATTCAAGGCCACAAACATTTTATTTCCACAATATCAAGAATAGACAGAATGGAAGACTTTGTGACATCAGGAGCTGCTAATTTGTATTAAGTAAACTAAAGTGTTTGGTTTTTTTCTCTTCTCAAATGTGTCTACTTTCAGGTTGGTTAAGAAAGTTGTCATCGGTCCAGAGACAAACATGGTCAGAGAAAGTTTTATCCAAACTAATTAGGAGAGTTTACACTGTGCCCCACAACTAACAAAACCTACAATCAATATAATGCACTTTTGACAAATACTCTGTTCCATCACTCTACAAAACAAAGAAGCCAGAGTTGTTTTTTCAGGGTGACCAGGGAAATCTCACTCCTAAAAATCCTACCACGCCAACAAAAATGCTACTACTATAAGTCAAGTTGTTTCTTGTCATTGTCAGCGTTAAGACTCTCGTCAAAGAGAATCACGTAGAAGGGGTTATTTCGTTTACATCTTAGGATAGCCGACCTGATCACCGATGCGATCCCAAATGTTCCAAGGTGGTCAAGTTTTGTGCGATTACACTGAAAACTCAGCTATCTTAGAGTCTGAAAACATCTTACGTAAGAGAAGACTCATGTCAACAACTGCTCTGGTTGATCACTATTACTGTTGGTGCTCCTTTCAGTATCTCTCACAACACTTGTACTTGTTCTGTTCTAGGTAAAGCTAAGAAAAGATTTGGATCCACACTGGCTGGTTTGGGTTTCCATGTGCTTTTGAGATACCATGTGAGTGTTCAAAGCCTTTACACCTGAAAAGCCGATGATATAAACCTTGGAACAATACTTACATATAAACTTGCTTTTGTCATTTTGGGTATTCCATCAATCATTCTGAATATTTAGGGTCGGACAACCACTCAGTATTGATGAAGCAGCACTTTCCCATGATACTGGATCTAGTCTAGTTCTCCCTTAATCTACTCTACACATATAGTCACAACTATCACAAGAAAAAAGTCTGTCTTTGGCCTAAGTTTCAGTATGCCAAGTGCTGTCAATCTCCTACAAGCCTATCTTGCTGAGTTTATCCATGGTCATAGATCAAGAATCTAGATGCTGTCACTTTCACTAACCAACTTAGTCACTCACACTCTGCGTTGTGACTGAGTTCAGTTCACAAAGTTTCTTCTTTTCACAAAGTCATGAAGATCAAGACATATGATTTTAAGATCAATATACAGTTGAACCTGCCCTGACGGCAACCTCTATAAAACGGCCACCTGTACAAATGGCCACTTTCCATTTCCCCCCTTGCGTTATTTCTATATAATTTAACTGTGTAAAACGGGAACCTGTCCAACGTGGCCGCAGCCACCATATTTTAACACATAACTCCTATCACACCAAGCAATAACGCCTGTCTTAGACGGCCACCTTAGTGACGCCATAACGTTTTGTCATAAATCATGCATTGGCCCCTGGCGTTGTGGGCGAGCCGTCATAATCAAATCACCTGTCGTTATTTTTAGGTTGTCCCTCCAACCGACCAAGTTGCATAGGCCCCTCCCACTGTGGACCAATAGGTAACAAATTTTCAGCTTCTGGTGAGATAAGCGTGTGATCCTTCATAACCCATAAGCCCTGCCCAGAACTCATACACAAATCGGAAGTGAGATGAGGGGTCACTGTTTATCCAGTCTGTAACAAACAAACAATGGACGTCAACATGAACTTGTGACAGAAGCGTCGCTCGTTCTCCGAGTAGTGGCGACCCGTGTGTTTGTTTTACCCTAGCACTTGGTCCTCCTTGTCTGACACATTTTGTTTTGTTGTCACCTTTGTACAAAAGCAGCAACAAAAGACCGCCCCGCCCCCACCCAGCGAAAAAAACAACAACAACAATATCAACAACAACAATGCGGCTACTTTCGGTTCAGACCTCAGAAAGGAATGGTTTGTTTTCTTCATCTTGATCAGTCCTGCCTAAGACGGCCACCTGCCTTATATGGCCACTTTTCTCCTTGACAATGGGTGGCCATGTTACACAGGTTCGACTGTATATATGCATGTATAAATATGTATATATTATGTATAATTATTATGTTATATATCACCGTGGCGAGCGACTATCACCAATCCAATGAAACGCGAACCCTATAGTTCAATAACACAGCTTACAAGGTATGACGGATCCTGATTCCACACAAGGCTTGCACCAACACGCGCTTTGCAGAGAGCTCTAGTAGAAATAAAAATTCTAAATGCTAAAGCTAAAATTAGCCGTCCCAGTCGGTTGGTTCCCCCCGCTTAGTTTTAACCCCCCCCCCCCCCCCCCCCACCTCCCTCACCCGAGGCTATCTTTAAAAAGAATCAATACTCCCGCCATTCCGGAGTCCTATACTTCGCAGCGCTCAGACTTGAAATGAACTTTGGTGAACCCAACATTCGCCGGTGCTCACATACGTACGTGCCGGTTCACTGACCGGTCACGATGATGAGCCTGACATGACTCAGGTATAACTTTCTTTTCTTTTTTCACAAGTGACAGGACGGTGACGTATATTGATTTATTTTCATGGCAACACAGCCTTTGTAATGCACAAACTGCATGTTACAATGTAGTGTTATCAGACTATTACCAGCAAATTTCTGGGTGGTAATGAAAGCGAAAGTAGATCTTGATTTTCCAGATTGAGCCTCGGTATCACACATACACTTCCGCTAGACGCTATAGCTGCCTGTTCGCATGACACTAACGTACTCTCAGACCGGGAAGAGCCGAATGAATATCACAATCGCGACCAGCAAAAATGAACTTAAGGACGTTATCCGATTTGGTTTTCAAATATATTTTCCCAGGTCTTTCAAGAGGCAATTTACAGATTTCCTCAAATTTCCTTTCATTGCTGACATTGATCCAACCATTTCCGTCGTAACAAAATTTTTTTCCAACAAAAATCCAACTTTTCTGACGTAAAAAAAATTTTTCTACCAATTTCTGACTTTCCTGGCCACCCTGTTTTTTACATGGCTTATTTACAATGAATTTAGTCGGGACAAAAGTCAAATTAGAATCAAGCTTTTCTCTTCTTTTCTAGAACAGTTCATTCCTCTAAGGGTCTGAGGAAAGGGCTGACGTTTCTAAGACATATTTTTGTACTTGGAAGGAACAAAAACTCAAGCAAAACCTGCATCAAAAAGAAGAAAAAGTAGAAAAGTTCAACGAGTTCCTACTTCTGCAACCGTTCTGTCGTGTCGGGAACCGGCGAGGTCATGACCTTGTCGTAGACAAAATGAGTTCTCCGAGCCACGTCATGCCATGAGTACAAATTTCGGATGCGGTTATGCATTTCTTCCGGAGGCAAGCACCTGTCTTGAATTCTGTCTTCAATTGCATTTTCCAGTTCTTGAGCAAGTGCTGTTGAGAAAATGAAATTTCACCAATGCATTGTGTCTTTATTATGTAGGGAATGAAAAATTAGCAGACTACAATAATGAAACATTATTCATGTTAAAGCTAGAAAAGACCATCTACTTTGAACAAGTGAAAAAATAACAAAATTTAATTTGACCCAAAGACTCTAGGATATATATATAAAGCCGTCTTAAAACTCTCTCTGTGGCCTTTTGTGTCTTGACAGATTATCATAAAGCAGTATACATGATACAGCTCTGCCTGGGCGGTAGACATAGATGTGTGATAGAGGCAGTAGATTCCTTCCCTCCTTTCAGATCTTGACTTCCTTGATATAAAAGATAATGCACTTTAAACGCTGAAACTACTAACAGCAGAATCAACTAAAATGGTTCACTTGGAATACTTTTTTTTTTTATGGTTATTCTAATGATCCAAGAGATTTTTTCCTCATATCAAAATGGAAATAAAATCTACACTTATATAAATCTAAGTGAAGTTTTAAGCCAGTTCAATTTTATTGACAAAACTAAGATTTCTGGGTGCTCTGTTAGCTAAGTTGGTATGGTTTTGGTTCGAATCCTAGACTGAGCAGTCTCTTCATCACAGTCACATGTACTAACGGCCACTGTTTTGTGACGTCCTTGTGCTTTTTAACTTGTCCATAGCAGTCCCTGTCCAACATGACTACGATCAGTCATTTCGGTGACAGGGTGGCCTCAAAACTTGCTCATAGTATAGGGGTCACTTGCTACAAAAGTTTTCTGAGAACCCATTCTCCGACAGAGTGTGTATGGGCAATCAGTGCACAGGACCTCTTATGATAGAACACAACAATTTTGAAGGACATAAATTCAACGGAAAGATAAGATTACGATTTCAGATTTTCTTTGTCAAGTCTTGTGAGGGACCATAACTCCGGCCCGGTCCATCGTGGCCACCTGTCATGACCGCCATGAACAGGTTTGACTGTATAGGTCAGCAGAACAATTAGACAAAGACAGGAGTGTGTGTTACCTTGAACATTGGGCTCGGCGAGGTAGACCAGGCCAGGGGGTAGCACCTCCGGCACACCACCGACCCTGGTGCTCACCACCTGCAGTCTGAGAAATGAGTGTCCAGACTTAAGATGACTTACTGCAACACA